CCGGTACAGTCTGCGCTCGAACAGTGGGGGCGAGAACAGCCAGCAGCCCCGACTCTCCGCGTGCGCCCAGTTCAGCATGCATGCATGTATGTATGCATAGAGCTGAGTGTTAACGCTATCCCACGCATGCATACATATCATATCGTTCCTTCTTGGTGTCTCTGGCGGGGGCCTGAATTATATCTCGTCGATACTCCGGAAGTTGCATGGTGAGTCTGCTCTGCACTCAGTTGAGCTGCTGGGGCTCTTCATACAGCACCTGTTCCTGTTGCTGCAACACTGCTTGCTGCTGCAGCATCCATTCCACCTTCTATATAGCCTAAGGGAGAGTTCTTGTCTCTGCTACGATCGAAAGAGAGGCTAATGAATGTAGAGAGATGGGCCAGATGCAGCAAAAGCAGCAAGGCAACGGGCTGTATATCTTCAGCAGCAGGAACATTGGCTTCACTTGCAGCTACAGCTAGCAACGCAGCAGCTGTTACCACCGTTGCAACCGGTGTTCCTGCTGCGCGGGTGGGGGGTATCAGCTCAAACGCGCCCAAAGGATTTACTCTTCTGCTGCGGCTGCATGCAACTGATAGATCATCTAAGCAGAGGGTCCCGCAAGCGTAAGCACATGACTGCATCCATGCATAGAAGCTAGCTACAGACAAATGCTTATAGGGCTGCATGCATGCATAATAACTAGCTGCAACCTAACGTGTATATAAATGCATGCATGATTACTGCCTGCATCCTAATTTGTACAGGCAGCAGTGCATGTATAATACTAATAGCTGCATGTATAAAAGTAACAGGATGCAACCTAGGGTCTGCATGGCTGCATGCATGCATACTAGCTAGTTGCAGCAAACTGGGTATAGCATGGATAATATCGGGTTGCATGCGTTGAACCCCTTCTAGAAGACTATCGATTGAGTTGTTAATGTATTGGCTTCGTCTGCTATTACATTAAGACGAAACAGAATAACCCAGTCAGAGCAGCAGCAGTAGCTGTAGCTGCACGCCGCTGCTCCAGGCGTGTGTAATGCTGCTACAAATGTTGTAACACTACCCGCTGCTGCACCTGCTGCTGCTGCTGTTGCTGCTGCAGTTGCTACTGTTTTTTTTCCCTTCTTGCCTTCGGTAGCGGCGTCTAAGCCATACAGGGGGATGAAGGCATCCTAGGCCTCC